TTTCAGAGGTGGCAATCTGTTTCCTTCACTGGAGAAAGAGCTCCTTAAGAACAAATGATTTATATACAGCTCTGTTGAGCTGAGCTCAGCCAGCCCTAACTACTGCCTAGAAGCCTGGTCTCTAACATTCCAGGTATACCCTAACCTTCTCAAACTTCTAGCTCACTCATTCTCCGGCGTGACCCACCTCTGTCTTAATGCCTATTAATGGGTCTCTCTCTACTTTGCACAATCTAACAGCTTTTCTTGTTCCCATCAAAGGCCAATCCCTCCATACGTGCTATGGAGGAGCCTTATTTTATCAACTCTCTCCATTCCCACTACTTTGTTTCTAGCTTGATCTCAATCCTGCACTCCTTCCCATCAGAAAGTCAAATTGGCAGGCATTTATATGCAAGGGAAAATTGGAAGTTACAATGTGCTTAGGTTTCCAACTTGGGGGGTTAGTTGGACAGCTGTGTTATTTGCTGAGATAGCAAACAAAAAGAAGAACAAGCTTTGTAGGAAAGAAATCAAGCGTAGACAGATTAGATTTTCCAACATCAAATTGATCTGCTGAGTGAATAGGCTCATATATTAATGTCAAGGATGAATTAAGGTTTAGAAGTTATCAGCATGAGAGTCATAATTAAAACCACAAGAGAAGGCAAAATCATATAAGCAGAGAGCTCAGTATGGAACCCTAGGGCACCTCAAGGTTAAGCAATTGGCAGAAGAGTAAGCACTCACGAGAAGATGGAGAAGGAAAGTTCCTGCAGAGAAAAGGAGGAAGAGAGTAAAAGAAACCAAGAGAACAGAGAGTTTAAAGACTGAATGAGAGAACAGCCCAACAAATCCAACAGAAAGCACCATTGATATACAGACTGGGTTCAGCATTCATTAGGAAAAGCAGCATGAAGGCCACAGGTAACCATTAGAGCAAACACTACTGGTGCCTTGGCCATAACCCCTTGCCCTCACCACTCTTGTGCTCAGCCCCACATCCAGGTGCCAGCACTTGCCTTTCTTTTCCTGAAGGTTTGTATCTTGCTGCTGCAGCCCACTTTGCCATCTCCTTAACAAGCTAGATGTGTCAAAGAATGAATGCCCCCACCCTTGAAGCAGCATTGACTAACGAACGACTGACAAGAACTGGTGTATAAATATCCCAGTTCCTCCAGCCCTCTGGTGAGATAACTGACGCACATGTCTACACTGTTCCCCAGGGGTCCTCGGCAGGACTAAGCTCCAGGAACCCATGGTGAGAATTGGTTAGGTAATGTTTTTTTTTTAAATTGGCTCTTTCCCTCCCTTGTCTTGCTTCCCACATTTCTCCAGTGTCCCCTTCACCTCCCAAATAAACTTCTTGCCCTTGCATTGTTACTTCTGGAGGAATCTGCACAAGAGGAATTCCAGGGGCAGGGGGTGCTAAGGGAAGAAATTAGAACACAATGAATTGAAGAGCAAATGGGATTTGAGGAAGTAAAGATGATGAGTTTACACTATTCTTTTTAAAATTTGTCTAAGGTAGAGAGAAAAGAGGATAGGGCCAGACATGAGCACGCAGTCAATATGAGAGAGCAAAACATGCCAAAATGCTAAGGAAAAAGAGACAAGATACAAAGGCTGAAGTGGTTAGGAGGGTTGCTAAGTTGTACAGCAAGACCCCAAAGGAGATAAGAGGTTGAAAGATCACAGGGAGGGGTGGGGGACTGGCCTCATCAGCGAATAAATGCTTCATCCTCTGAGGCTGAGGGGAAGGATTTAAAGACAGATGTATATTCTGATGAATGTGCAGGGGCTGGTGGAGCCGAGACAGTCTGGGGAGTAGCTGGGGTTCATCCATTTTTGGTGGCACCAACCCACCAGGCTATAAAGCTTTTCCCAAACTGTGCTCAGCAGCTCTATGCACACATGACCATCCTCAGCAGCTGGAAAACCATTGCATGCAGGTGGTGAGCTTAATCTAGAATCAGGGATTTATAAAATGAGTGTTGAAGGAGAATGAGAGACAATTGGGTTAAGGCTATCAGAGAAGGCATAGTTAACCATGTGGTCTGGACCAGGTAAGGACCTGTGACCAGACAGAGGCTATCACACTCCAAAACAACACACAGCTCCCAGGACTGGAAGCCTCTCTGGCTAATCTAGGCCTCTGCAAAAGCATCTGCTCTGCATAAGCATTGTGCTGTAGGGACCACCAGGATGTATAAAGGCCTGCTCCCAGATAGAAAGACGGTGTGCCACAGGTAGGGCAAAATTCAAGAGTTCAGTCACCCAAACTAATAAAAGCAGTAATGCAACCTGAGACACAGGTAGAACAAGAGCCTGAACAGAAAGCAAAGAGCTCAGACCTTTTCTCTAGCTCTGCTGTTTCCTGGAAAATCACAGTCTGCCAGGCTGCTTGTGTGCAGGGCTCAATTTAATAATATAAAACATGTTGTGCAGAAAAAGATGAGTCAAAGGCACACACAGCACTTCTGAATATATGTGACTGATTGACTCCAAATTAACCACCCACAGCCATGGTGGTTTTCAAAGAACCACAGATCGCCAGCTCCCAAAAGCAGAATACTAAAACCAAAAGAGGCCCAGGACGTACCTGTTAAACCCAAAGGCAAGGACAACCTTGTGAATTCCTAAAATCTCAGAACTGAGAGGACAGAATAAACTAAGAGGGAGACACCACTGTTACCTCCTATCAAATATTAAGAATGCTACCATGTTTAATCAGGATGCTGCAACCATACAATCGGTTTCTAATATTATATCATTCTCTGGTTTTTGAGAAGACCTATCCAAAGGAGTTATTAAAAACCCAATTAGGCCTTTGCCAAAATTATTTAACCTCTACAAGCAATACTTCAGAAATAGCACTGTTTCAGAAAGCAAGTTGGCTTCAGAAAATCTTTTTTATCCTTTCTTCATGTGCAAGTTAGTAGCTTTGCTTAAGAGCAAATATTTCCTATCAACCTGCCTCCCACTCCTTCGATTCAAAATAGTCAATCAGTATCAATAAAAGGAATAGACAACATGACGAAGAAGTGGCTCCAATGTATTACCTGAAGACCTTTGGGAATCTAAGAAGGAAAAATGAATATCTCAGGTAGGACTCCGATAGTGTACAAGTGAAGTCATGGGACATTATGAATGAAGCCTTTCAGATCCTCTGTTCCCAGGTAAGGGACAATGGCTAAGAAGGTAATAACAGCCTGTGGAGGCACCTTCTCTGATACCCAGAGATTAGTTAACTGAGGGAGTCAAAGCACGCCAGCACTAGGATACCTCCTGAATTTAGGTGAATACACTGAGCAAGGTTAGCTCCAGACAAATCTGTGAGTATGGTGAAGTTTGCTTTCATTGTCTTCTAACACCTTTCCGTGTCCTGATTGAACTTCAGCCACCCAAAGCCACCACCATAGGTGACATGCCTTTTATACAACTAATTTCCTCTGTTTTATACATTTTCTAACTACTTCCATATATCAATACTTACCTCTCCTAGGACCCTTCTACTCATGCTCCTTAAGAGGGTCTCAGTTAATGACTAGGTAACCTGTCATACAACTTGCTGTTAAAGTTTTAGTGAGTAGTTACTTCCTTCACAAATTAAACTTGCCTAATCTTGTGCCTTTTTAATGCTTTCACTTTTGGTACCATAAATTTGTCACTTTCCACATTTCTTTACCTCACATCACAAATAATCTGGATTATTCATTTATGGGTTGTTTAGGTCAGCATTGATCATTGTGTAGTCTGTGTACTGTCTACATAACTGTACCTTGAGGGGAGGGGGTGGTGAATTCTTACTAAAAAGGCAGATGCCCAGGCCTTAGTGGTGACACAAAAACCATATTCTCTAGGGGCATCTTTAACATTCTCCCCCATTGACTTTTCTTCCTCCTAAATCAGTAAACATCATGTGATACCTACACACAGTAGATGCTACAGAAGTGCTGGGTATCAGAATACAATTAACACCAACTTATAAACAGGTTCACTTCCAAATAATAAAAGCTCTAAAAAGTTGGCATGCTGATACACCTTCAGAACAGTAAATAAATAAATAAATAAAAATAAATTTAAAACTTGGTCAGGCATGTGTGTGTTGGGGCAAGAATTTAGGGGAAATCTCTGTACCTTCCCCTTAATTTTGCTGCGAACTTAAAACTGCCAAAAAAAAAAAAAAAAAGAAAAGAAAAGAAAAAAAGAGAAACAAAACGAAAAGAAAAGAAAGAAAGAAAGAAAGAAAGAAACCTAGCCTACTAAGATAGGGTAGGTGAACATGTTCATCCCTGGCCCTCTTTTTGTCTCTACATGACTCACCTTGCTTTTGCCATCTACTCATCCTATCCTAATGTCCCTTGTAAAGCCCCAAACTCCTGTGGCAGAGCTAGTAACTCCCTGCTTATGGTTTTCATGGTCCCATGTACATGCACATTACGAAAACATTATGGCACTGATCCCTACACGATGACACCTATTCTCTTACATGGTCCTGGTGAATCTCAAATAACACAGCTTCCTCACTGCCATATGCCCTTCCCCCAGCACATCAAATGGAACTTTACAGGTATACAATAGGATTTGTTGAGTAAGTGAATGAGTGAATGAATGAAAGGTATTGCCACTGAGATTGACATGAGATGAAGTGTGTTGGGAGGATGGATGGGTCCAATGGATTACCCTCTCCTTTTACACATAAGGATATTGATTAGAGTCACCATTCCTTATCTCCCTGAGGCACAGGCATTCAGGAACTCATTTATTCAATCTGTTACCATGGTCTATAATCTCAATTGATAGATTAACAACTTCCAGTCCTATTAAACAAAGGAAGCAATGGCCACAGCCACCCAAAGTATGCACCAATAGCATCTAGGAGGAAACCAGAAGCCACACTAGGTATTTCAACCAGAGGGGGTTTAATGGAGGGAGTTGATTACACAGGTTGGGTAATAAGGCTGAAAAGGGCCGTGGAGACAGCCCGGTGTTAGTAAACACAGGAAGCAGCTACTAACCTTAGGGCTGGGGAACAAAAGGGAAGAGATGGTGTTACCAGAACCTAGAAGCTTTGACGGGGGACCCCCCACGACTGGCGCCTGGCCCTCTGAGGGGGCTGCTGCGCTGCTGTTGCTTGGACTTCTGAGGGGGACGCTGCTTGGCTGGCGGTGGTCGGACCTCTGGGCGGGGGCGTGGCTGACGCTCAGACCTCGGAGGGGACCGTGGCTGACGCTCAGACCTCGGAGGGGACCGTGGCTGACGCTCAGACCTCGGAGGGGACCGTGGCTTGGCTGGCTCTCTGACCACCGCAGGGGGCGCAGCTGGCTGTTTCTTGGGCTTCTGAGGGGACGTGGCACGGCGGCTGGTTCTGAGAGGGCCAAAAGAAGCTGGAGGCGGGAGCCAGGGCTCTCCTCTGCTGCTTAAGCGACGCTGGCAGGAGCTGGAAACAGGTAGGAAGGCCCTGCTCCCCCACCCACCTTCCAGTCTCCCTGGAGTGCCTTCCGGTGTCGGAGCCTAACCCGGAGCCGACTGGGGGGAAGAGTGGGGTGCGGAGCGGGAGGGGCGTGCCCGGAGCCGAGACCACGCGCTGTGCCCAGCCGTGCCGCGGGGCTGGGCGACCGCTCACCTGGTCTTTTGGCAGGCGCAGCAGATCCAGTCCTCCTCTTTCTTCTGGTAGAAGCAGCCGCTCTTACAGATGCTGTATTTCCGATCCACTATCTCCTTCTTGGAATTGAGGAAGGTGAACGGCGGGCAGCAGTGTATGCTGAAGTGCTCGGAGTACTTCTGGTTTTTGGAGAGTCTGGGACCCTCCTTGGCCGTTTTCTGACTCATCTCACTGGAAATCGCCGATGCAAGGAGGCAGAAAGAGACACAAAAGCACATCAGGCAAGGGAGCCCTCTACTCAGGAAGCCCCCTGCTACTCCCATAGTCCAAGGTAACATTCAGGGTGGTCCTACAGAGCAAACCCCTGGAAGAGCAACTTTCCCCTAACTCCGTGGAAGGGAACTCTACTAAGAGTTCATTAATTTTCATGTGTGTGTTTTTAAAAATCCTGTTTTCAAGGAGAGAAAGAAACATGGGCTCTTGTTTTCCTTATGTTTTAGAGACTCATGTAACATAGGAAAACATTTAAAACCAAACATATTCTTGACTAAATAATATTCTAGAGTTAGGAAAAGACTTTTCTCTAAAAAGCAAAAAAACACACAAAAAAGTTTATTATTATTTATTATTAAAACAATCATCATTCATGCAATAAAATAGTACACAACAAGGAAAAAGAACAAACTGCTGACCTGCTGACATACATCAACACATTTTGATCTCACAGACTTAATGTTGAGCAAAAGAAGTCAGACACAAGAAAACAAGCTGTATGATTGATTTTATATGAGGTTCAAGAACGGGCAAAACTAATCGATGGTGCTAGAAATCAGAGCATAGTTATATTTGGAGAAGGTGGGTTCTGACTCAGAAGGGGCAACAGGGGAACTTGCTGGGGACTGAAAACATTCCTTTTAGGAATGTGACAAATGCAGAAATAGTCCTACCTAACACTACAAAACACCGAAGTCCACAGGGGACTTACGTGACTATCAAATAACAAGAATCAACATGGTTAATGGGCATAAACCGGATACTGAGAATGTCTCTGCTCTCAACAAACTCAGAGTCAGGTTGGAGACGCAGATGTGCAGTATGTAATTACAAAACAGTGTTATGGTGACCAATACAATTGTGTACAAAGGTAAAGGAAATCATGGGAAAAGGATGGATTCCTGGAAGACAGAACCTATAATCTGGGTTTTTAAGGATGAGTACAGAAAAAGAACTAAATAACATTGAGGGGATATATTAATTTTTTCGTCTGTTGGTGTGGTTGTCTTCTGCTACAAATAGAAATGACAGCTGAGAAGCAGGTAGAACGCAGTTACAAATACATCACTTTTGCATCTCTGTGATCATCCAAATTGTGTGTCACATCTGTTATGGATGTTAAAAATATTCTTTCCCAATATCTCACTTGATTTTATCACGCAAAAATAATTAGTTTTATGTAATTAAGTATCTTAGATCTTATCAAAAGTTTTATATTTTTCCCAGAAAGTTTTCCCCACTCCATCAGCTTTTAACATACTCATATGCCCCATTTTAAATGAAAATCCTCTCTGGATCCTGCTCCCATGTCTTTTTGCTTCCCTATTACCCCCCTCTTTTGTATAGGCAAAGTTCTTGAACAGTTATTAATACTTTTCCCCTCCATCTTTGCATCTCCCCCTCACTCACTCATCAGTGTACCCACTGTGGCTCCTGGTCCTTTCCTCCCAAGGAAAAATGACTCTACATAGCTCCCCAGAGACCTCCATGGTGCTAAACCAGTTGTCTTCATATTTGGTCCCCATCTAAACTCTTTCCTTTCCTGTGACACCACATTCTCTTAGATCTCCTCCTCTATCTCTAGTCTCTCCTTGTCCATTTCCCTTATAGGCTCATCTGCTTTTGCCAAACCTTTCTTTTTTTAACCCTAAACTTTTAATGTTGGAGTTATTTAAGGTATAATAAATACTAAATGATAAATGAAGATAACTTCACCCATTTAATTTAACATTTATTATACACTTTGGTTTTGTCTGGCACAGTGCTCAGTTCACATACTGGACACAAAGCTAAATCATGCTTAGTCCAGTCCTCAAGAAACTTATCCACCAGTGGGAGATACAGGCAAGTTTAAGTGATTAGAACGCACATAATGTGCTAATGGCCAGAAAAACCTCATTTACTGAGACCAAATAAGTACAAGTTACTGAGATGAGGAAGTGGGTAGATCAGATAAACATCTTGTTCACAATGAGCTCACATTGTAGGTAGAGGAATGTCCACAGACATCAGTAAGTGTGATACAAGACCAGCATGCTCTGGAACATGAGAATGTGCTGGCGCAATGGCATGAAAAGTCCACAGAAGAGAGGGCAATATGTTGGGCTAGAGAACAAGGTGAAACTTCATGGGCAGAGGCATTTCATCTGGCCAAAATGAAGGCTTGGGAATGACTGATACCTAAGCAGATACACAGTGAATTGCATTACCCCTGAAAGCCCTCATCCTATCTACACTGCAGAATTGGAAGACGTAATAGAGCTAGGACACAGGTAGTGAGGCAGGTGAAATGTCTAACCTATGTGACCAGGAACACAGTCATGCCATCAGCTAATCAGAGGTCTAAGTAGATGAGAAGGAGGGAGATTATCTCATTGGTCTGAGATACCATGAGTTTAAAGAGCCAAGGGCATCCACAAAGAAACAGGCATTCCAAACTCAGGACCTAAAGCTCTCATCTTGAGAGCCCTTCACCTCATGGAAGGGGGCAAAACTTGGGCATGGATGAGATACCTGTGAACTCAGCGAGGAATCAGTCAAGGGAAGGCTTCCAGGAGGAGGAGTGGACCTGCCTTCAAGCTGTGGGAAGAAGGAGTAATGGATATTCAGAAAGGTAAGATGAGTAGCAGTCTCCTAGGAGAGAAATTGCTGAATTTTCAAACGGAGATGATCAGATATATTCAAAGGAGCCCTTTATCCAGACAGGTATATATAGACCAATGAGAAGCTGCAGCTGACTTATAGGGTCAGATTCATTGCAAAGACCCTAAACGTCTGCCAAGCCCTTCCCCAAGTCCTACATAGGTCGCTAAGTTCATCTAGAGTTTCTCCTTCCATGAGAAATAATGAAATGAAACACTTTAGGACTAACCTTCAGGAGTAATTTCTTTAGGTTCCCAGCACATAGAGATTGTTACTCAACTCTTCACAGGCAACTCAGACATTCCCAATTCCTCCGGCTTTCTAGGGTCACCTTTTCCAAATGGCTCAGGCACCCATCACAAACAACAGAAAATCTAGCTCTTATCCCAACTGTTTAAGAAATATGGGATAAGGAGATTTGAAGTCCACTGTGACTCTGAATTCCTTCCCTAATTGAATTCTCAAATCCCACTCAGTGCTCCAGCTGATGTAATGCCTGGGTCACTGTATGCCCATTTGCACTCCCGCCCAGTCATTTCTTCTCCCCAGCACTTCAAGGGAAAATTGTTTCTTACTCTGTGACAACTTCCCTCACTCCCTGTCTCCCCTGACCATGTCCGGCAGGGGACAGCATCACCTCCAGTTATCCATCAATGCATGGTCCTGAAGGAAAAAGTAATTCCCTTCCCTGGAAGAACCTCACCATTCCCAGCACAACCACCTGAAAATGCATCCAACTTTCAAAATAATATTTTCTCCCTCCTTTAGTAAAATGTTTATATTTTTGAAAAGACTGGTGGGCGGATCACGAGGTCAGCAGATTGAGACCATCCTGGCCAACATGGTGAAACCCGGTCTCTACTAAAAATACAAAACTTAGCTAAGTGTGGTAGCACGTGCCTGTAATCCCAGCTACTTGGGCAACTGAGGCAGGAGAATCACTTGAACCCAGGAGGCGGAAATTGCAGTGAGCTGAGGTCGCGCCACTGCGCTCCAGCCTGGGCGATAGAGCAAGACTCCATCTCCAAAACAACAACAACAACAACAACAACAACAATGAAAACTGGCCTCCTGTTTTCCCCAGTGGCAGAAATACAGCACTTAGTTGGGGTACCTGGTTAAGTGGTTCTATATACTGACTCCTCAACTGTTGGCCCCACGCCACCCTCCAATTTAAAAACATTAAGCCCCACATGCTAAATGAGAGTCATCGTTTCCTAACACACCAGGATTGCTAGTAAATTCCTTGGAAATACAGGCTGTTAAATTAAGTTTAGCCTAAAGCCACATCCTTACATATTTTAAGTTCCGCCTAACGGTTTATTTGTACATAGTAAACTGTAACCTAACTGGATGTGTACATTGTAACTGCGTCTTATACCAATTCCAGAGTTTTGGTCAATCACAGACAGCCAACTGTGTTCAAATAAGGCAAATTGCAGCTGTAACCAGTCCAGCTGTTTCTGTACCTCACATTCGGTTTCTATTTGTCACTTTCCTTTTTCTGTCCATCGATGTTTTCTGACTGTGTGGCGGCCCTGGAGTCCCTCTGAACCTAATCTGGTTCTGGGGACAGTCTGATCTGTGAATTGTTCTTTGCTGAATTAAACTCTGTTAAATTGAATTTGTTTTATTAAAGTTTTTCCTTTAATAAAGCAAATAACTAAGAGCGAAGAAGTAACAATTTACTGAGCACCATTGTGTATGGTTGTTTTGCATACTTTATCTCATTTTATAATGTGGCGTTATTAACGAACTAAAGATGGAAAGTCTAAGGAACACGACTAAATCCATAAGCCAGTAAGAGGCAACAAGGGATTTGAATCCACATCTGTGTAACTCCAACATCCTGAGGACTTTAGCCAGGTCCAACACTGTTTTGTGCTTCCTATAGACTCAACCCTCCTCCCAAGGAATAGGATTCCAGGTGCTGGGCCCAGACTAGACTTCGGGGAACTAGAGATGGACCCAGGGGTGGGATAAGGCTCAAAGATCCATGGGTCTATGTCCTAGGGTGAGAAAGACTGAAAACTGGGGAAACAAATCACTCCAGAAGAGAAAGATAGAGAATGGAGTTTGGAGGCTTCACAATAGAAATCAGGACTTCTCTGCCAGAGCCAGAAGGGTCCCTGTCCAGGACTAGCAGTAAGCTTGGGATGGGCCGTGAGGGAAGTGTGACCCACAGGTACTTCTGCAGCTCCTCCCCTCCAGTCCATTAGTGGATTAAAAAATCTATATTCACTGCTGAAAGTTAGAAAACTCAGATGGATGAAAATAATACGCCCAGTGTGGTGGCTCATGTCTGTAATCCCAGTACTTTGGGAGGCCAAGGCAGACAGATTACTTGAGGTTAGGAGTTTGAGACCTGCCTGGTCAACATGGTGAAACCCTGTCTCTACTAAAAATATATAAATTAGCCAGGGCAGGTGCGGTGGCTGACGCCTGTAATCCCAACACTTCAGGAGACTAAGGCGGGCGAATCACCCGAGGTCAGGAGTTCGAGACCAGCATGATCAACATGGAGAAACTCCGTCTCTACTAAAAATACAAAATGAGCTGGGCATGGTGGTGCATGCTTGTAATCCCAGCTACTTGAGAAGCTGAGGCAGCAGAATTGCTTGAACCCAGGAGGCAGAGATTATAGTGAGCCAAGATTACACCATTGCACTCCAGCCCGAGCAACAAGAGTGAAACTCCATCTCAAAAAAAGATAAAAAAAAAAATGTAGCCAGGCATGGTGGCAGGTGCCTGTAATCCCAGCTACTCAGGAGGCTGAGGCAGGAGAATCAATTGAACCCAGGAGGCAGAGTTTGCAGTGAGCCGACATCATGCCACTGCACTCCAGCCTGGGCAACACAGCGAGACTTTGTCTCAAAAAAAAGAAAAAGAAAATAATACAAATTCGTAAATTCTTACCCCATGGTGAGTCACTTGTAAAATATGTTAACTTTTTTTCTTTCAGAATATTTACATGTAAATATACAGTTAATAAAAAGTAGGACCACACCTTACATATTGTTCAAATTTATATTATTGAAAAAATCACTCACTTTTCAAGTTTATGTTATCTGTAGTGCTCTCTTACGGTTTTTTTAATTTGTAATAAATCTGTTAATATAATTTTCTCTATAGTTTATATTCTATATTTATATCTTCTCTCATTTTGTTTGAGTACTTTTGTCAGAAGTTATCTACTTCATTTTTTTTTCAAAAGTAAGGAAGTGGTTTTCTTCTTTGTTCTTTTTTCCCCCAATTTATTCATTTCTGTATGCACTTCTTTTTTTCTTTTCTTTTCTTTTTTTTTTTTTTGAGACAAGGTCTCACTCTGTAGCCCATTCTAGAGTGTAGTGGTGCAATCACAGCTCACTGCAGCCTCAACCACCTGGACTCAAGCAATCCTCCTGCCTCAGCCTCTTGAGTAGCTGGGACTACAGGTGCATGCCACTACACCCAGCTAATTTTTTTTTTTTTTTTTTTTGCTGTAGAGACGGGATCTCCCTGGGCTCAAGTGATCCTCCCACCTCCCAAAGTACTGGGATTACAGGCGTGAACCACTGCACCTGGCCTATAATTTATTTTCTTCCATTTTCTTTATATTTGTGTTGTTATTTTTTTCCTTATTGAGTCAAATGCTTCATATATGTACATTTATGGCTATAACCTTTTCCATTGTACAACTTTAGCTGCATACCAGAAATATTAAAATAATTTTTAATCTTCATTTTAATTATGGATGAGTTCTTCTTCAATTCATCAGTTATTACAAAATCTATTGTAAAATTTCCAAATGTATGGAGCTATTTTTGTTACATTGGCTCCTAATTCTAAGGCAGTTAGAGAAAGCAGTCGCTATGACAATGATTCCAACAGTTGTTCATATTTGCTTTATGACCTTGTTCTACGTGTGCTTGCAAAGACTGTGCATTTCTGGAAACAATCTGGGATTGTCTAGTGAGGATAAAAATGTGCACAAACTGTAGTCTAGCAGTTTACTCCTGGGTGCAGCAGCCATCTTGGACCACAGCTCAACCTCACAGGTGAAGCCACTTCCTGTGAGGTGGTGGAGCAAAAATACGAGAGGAGGCTGAATCCTGGAGGACTGTGGAGTTTGCTGTTTCTGGCCTGGACTCTTGAACTCTGAACACCTTTTACATGAGAAACAAACAAACTTCCAACTTGTGTAAACCACTATTATTTCTGTTACATGTAACCAAATACATTCCTAATTGGTTACACTCAGTTTCCTATAATAATAACACTTAACTCAGAGGTGTTTTGAAAATATGAAATGAAATAAAGTAAATAAAAAAGTGAACCTAGCACTGTAACTAATGTAAATAACTTACTTAATAAATTATATTTCCCTTTTGCTGATGAGAATTCATTTAAATGACCTAATCCTGCTGAATTTTTTAGACACACTCTATTTATCTCACTGTGTATCTCTGATGATACTTAAGCATTAATCACATATTTATTTACTTTAGTGGTTAAAAACAAATCATAAACACTGCGTGATGTTTTCACAAAAGATACCACCTAATTGCAAGCAAAGGTAATTATGAACTCTGGTAGGATGAAGAAAAAAAAAAACAAATTTGAAACTGTAAAATATAATCTTCTCCAGGTTTCCATATAACCTAAAAGTAAAGAGGAGAGAAAAGTGAAGCAAGTATTCAAAGAAAGAGAAGAAAGTGAAGGGAAGGACCCAAAGAAAGGAGAATAAAAACCTCTGCACCATTTATTGAGCACCTAGTATGTTCCATATGCTTTATATCTAACATTTGTAATTCCCCAAAACAACCCTCCAGGTAGTTCCTACTATCCCCATTTTACAGATGAGAAAATTGAGGAAGAATTTAAAAGTGAAATTAAAAGAAAGAAGAAATTAAAAGTGAAATCCCCAACATCATACAATAATAATTTTAAAATAGCAA